AATAATGTCTTCCATCTTGGTCAGACACGAGAGGGACTCCTGAGAGAGTCCAAAATGAATGGGTTCCTATGGAGTTTTTGTTCAAAACTATTATTTGTAAATGGTTAATCCTTTTTATACAGACAAATGCACTTTTTATGCCGTCGTAAAACAGCACAAGACATTTTAACACTGTAGTCATTTTTAGCTCCACTTAAAGGACATTCTGGGTGTGTCTTGTGTACAGCCATGATGTCAAAAATGCTGCACTTGACTAAGTGGGAAGTCAGAGTTTCAAATTACGTCATTTTGAATCTCCATACATTCAAGCTACAAAGTGAAGAAATGTGAATAAGACACCACCATAAAGGCAAGGATTTTTAGCAAAAGTCTAGCCAGTTAACATCAGTGACTTGAATGATAACTTTAATGTTTGTTAAGTTTTTTTTATCTTCTCAAAACACTGAACCTCATGGTCAGTGTTAGATTTAACCAGCTGCTGTGTTCGTATGTAAAGCAAATCTCAGTTAAAATTAGAGAAGTGATACCTTACTACTACTGCCTGTGTGGGCAGCCATGTTGTTATCATGCCATACGAACTTGCTGTTGAGAGGCCTGCCCTCACTTTCGGAGCAGGAATTCTCAGTTGAGAGGTGTTTTTTGATTTTTACTTGTCACTGCAGAAATTCTGAGTTATCCTAAGACTACATACCTTAGCATAAGAGTGAAATACTTTACTCAGCTAAAGACATCATCAACTCTCCAAACAATCAGCGTCCAGTAGCCATAATGCTAGTATCCTAGTGTCATATTTTTGGTTATAATAGGAGAAACAGAACTTTGCCAGGCTCCACTTAAACTGTCTCAGTTGCTAAATAATCCCTAATACACTTGCTTATGTGGTTTCTGACACTGTATGATGCACTGTTTACTATAACAGTATACAAAAGCACATCATGGCCTACAATGTCAGAAACCATATACAAACCGGATTCCAAAAAAGTTGGGACACTAAACAAATTGTGAATAAAAACTCAATGCAATGATGTGGAGGTGCCAACATCTAATATTTTATTCAGAATAGAACACAAATCACAGATCAAAAGTTTAAACTGAGAGAATGTATCATTTTAAGGGAAAAATATGTTGTTTCAAAATTTCATGGCGTCAACAAATCCCAAAAAAGTTGGGACAAGGCCATTTTTACCACTGTGTGGCATCCCCCCTTCTTCTTACAACACTCAACAGACGTCTGGGGACAGAGGAGACCAGTTTCTCAAGTTTAGAAATAGGAATGCTCTCCCATTCATGTCTAATACAGGCCTCTAACTGTTCAATCGTCTTGGACCTTCTTTGTCGCACCTTCCTCTTTATGATGCGCCAAATGTTCTCTATAGGTGAAAGATCTGGACTGCAGGCTGGCCATTTCAGTACCCGGATCCTTCTCCTACGTAGCCATGATGTTGTGATTGCTGCAGAATGTGGTCTGGCATTATCTTGTTGAAAAATGCAGGGTCTTCCCTGAAAGAGATGACGTCAAGATGGGAGCATATGTTGTTCTAGAACCTGAACATAGTTCTCTGCATTAATGGTGCCTTTCCAGACATGCAAGCTGCCCATGCCACAAGCACTCATGCAACCCCATACCATCAGTGATGCAGGCTTCTGAACGGAGCGTTGATAACAACTTGGGTTATCCTTGTCCTCTCTGGTCCGGATGACATGGCGTCCCAGTGTTCCATAAAGAACTTCAAATCGTGACTCATCTGACCACAGAACAGTCTTCCATTTTGCCACACTCCATTTTAAAAGACCCCTGGCCCAGTGCAAACGTCTGAGCTTGTGGAGCTTGCTTAGAAATGGCTTCCTCTTTGCACTGTAGAGTTTCAGCTGGCAACGGCGGATGGCACGGTGGATTGTGTTCACTGACAATGCTTTCTGGAAGTATTCCTGAGCCCATTCTGTTATTTCCTTGACAGTGGCATTCCTGTTTGAGGTGCAGTGACGTTTAAGGGCCCGGAGATCACGAGCATCCAGTAGAGTTTTACGGCCTTGACCCTTACGCACAGCGATTGTTCCAGATTCTTTGAATCTTTTGATGATGTTATGCACAGTTGATGATGATAACTTAAAAGTCTTTGCTATTTTACGCCGGGTAACACCATTCTGGTATTGCTGCACTATCTTTCTGCGCAACAATGGTGGAATTGGTGATCCTCTTACCATCTTGGCTTCAGAGAGACACTGACACTCTGAGAAGCTCTTTTTATACCAAATCATGTTGTCAATTGACCTAATTAGTGTTAATTGGTCTTCCAGCTGTTCGTTATATGCTCAATTTCCTTTTTCCAGCCACTTATTGCTACTTGTCCCAACTTTTTTGGGATTTGTTGACGCCATGAAATTTTGAAACAACATATTTTTCCCTTAAAATGATACATTCTCTCAGTTTAAACTTTTGATCTGTGATTTGTGTTCTATTCTGAATAAAATATTAGATGTTGGCACCTCCACATCACTGCATTCAGTTTTTATTCACAATTTGTTTAGTGTCCCAACTTTTTTGGAATCCGGTTTGTATATGTTCTGAGGCAAGTATGGGATTATTTTTCATGCAGTTTGTATGATGCTAACTGGTGGCTCAAGCTTCCATCATTTGTTAGCTACATTAGCCACATAGCTCCAGGACAAAGCTTAAAAAGTATTTTGGAAAACAAATATATCTTGGCTGATCAGCTACATTTAGGGTAAGGGAGGAAAATTGTAAATGTGAATTTTCACTGACCTACCACTGCAATATGTCCACTGGTATTGTTTTTGTCGTACTAACTTTGTAGTTCTACAGATTGTAGTCCATCTGTTTCTATCAGTGCCACTGCAATGCTGAGAATGATACATCACCCAAAAATACCTGCACAGTGGTGGTCCTGTGTGTACTGACCATTGCTGAACAGGTACAGGGGGGCTTAAACATTGCACAGAGAAACAGATGGACAGATGTAATTGTAGAACTTCAAAATGCACTACTACTATATGGTATGTTGACCTGATGAAATGAGGGTAGATACAATGTGTATCTAATAAAGCGGCCAGTGTGTGTATGCTAATGTCTCAAAACCTGATAATGGTGTTTTCACCTTTCATATGCACCTGTGAACAAAACAGCTCTAGCCTCAGTGACCTCCCTCTCCAAAAAAACCCTCTCAGCTGCTTCCTGAGCTGATCTTTGCTTTTCTCTTCTTAGCTACTCTCTCTGACTCTCTCCACTCCATTAGTTTTACTGCAGGGAGCCAAATTACGCTCAATTACTAAGTCACCAGAGTCAGCGCTTAGACCCGAACCAATACACAGACAGTCTTGCAAGCCCAGCCCTCCAGCCAGGGCATCCGAGGGAGAGAGATAGAGAAAGAGAGAGGGAACAATTAAAATAGAGTAGCAGAGAAGCCATGGCAGAAAAGCTGCTTTGCTGAAGGGAAGAAACTCTCTGGGCCCTCATCAAACTATCTTCAGCCCAGCTCTCTCTAGAGGATCTCCTCTGAGTTAGCACTACTGCTAGCAGCCAAGCATCCAAGCTAGGCAGCACTGTTTCATGAAGCTGAGCTCTGACCAGAAGCTTCCCTTTGACAGATGCTCTCTCACTGATCTCTATTACTGCCTTGTTATTGGCATTGCTTCTATATGTCTCTACAGAGAGAGAGAGAGACAAGTTTAACCCCAAAGCTAGTCTGCTTGTATGCGCTGATTATGAAGTCCGTGGTGTGTTTCCACAAAACATTGTAGTTCAAAGATGATGGCAGCGTGGCGCGAGTGCCACTTTGAAGAAATCTCAAGAAGTTCTTAACATTTATGTTGTGGGGAAAATGCTGAGAGTGGCCCAATATCAACTGAATAAAACCAATTACTTATCAGACTGATACTAAAAATAAAGTATTGGTGCAGCTCTGTCCTTAGCTTCTCACTAGGGATGTCCTAACAAAATTTTTATGCCCCCCAATCCCCATCAGAGTCATGAAATATTAAATAGTAGGCCTAACTGGCAATAGCATACCAAGTGCTGATACAATATGTCTATTTCTGTAGTTGGCACATCTGCACAGTACAACACTTCAAGCACATTTAAGTTAGTAAAACCAATCCAATTCAGGCACAAAATGTAACACGCAAGAAGGCTAGCACTCAGTCCACCAAGTGTGTAGTAGTGCACTGAAATTTTACCACTGTTTGACAAAACGTCTAGAATAACCCCAACCCTGCAATTCCCACTGATTTCTTCCTCCTTACTTTATTCTTCCTCTCCATTTTCATTACATTATAACAGTTTCTAAACTGGCATGTGGGAATCACTCACTCATGCTGCTGACAGTGTTCTCTGTTCTACTCTTCATAGTAGGATACAGCTCAGTGAAGGTCTACAAGGCCCACAAGGCCCAACTGAAGTGCAGGAAATAAACAGCAAATCAGTTTAGCAGAGTCTGGGTTAGTGTAGCTGACAGAAGTTTGATTTGTTTATTGAGTATTTTCATATGTTCAATATGTGGTACTCGTGCGTGTTTTAACTGTGAAACTCCTGGATTAGTGGGGTAAATCTGGGTTTAACTCCAGGCCAAGACATCATCTTTGAATGTTTTTGGGGGGCAATTTTCAAACACATCTTCAACTTTCATGCATCACACAAATGGGAGAATTTAGACTTTGTAGAATGCTGTTAACTTTAATAAGCACTGAGATCCAAAGGTAGTATTTCCTCAAGTCGTAAGTCCAGAACTGAAGATTTGTAGTATAGTACATAGATTTTTTTTAATGGACTGATTAATGTGGGTGGAGAGATGTAATGTGCATAGTTCCTAAACAGACCATAGGTCCAGACCCATCTCAGTCAATGAGGACACAGTGATAGTGGCTTGCTTATCCTATAAACTGGACGTTTAGGGATACTCTCTCTCTCTATTGTATCTTACAGTGAGTGAATAATGACTGTTAAAATATATTTAGTTCATTATGCATAGAGAGACGTGACTCACTTAGGCAGATGTTGTCATGGAAATGGTCAAGGAAGAGATTACACTGCTCTCTGTGATTTCCACTGGCTGCACATGAGCACCACGGCCCAACGTTAGAAGTGGAGTTATCCAAGTAGTTTGGAGTGATGGTGCTCCCTAGAGAGAGAGAGAGAGAGAGAGAGAGAGAGAGAGAGAGAGAGAGAGAGAGAGAGAGGAGGAAATAAATTAATGACTATTGTGTTTGACCATAGTTTCATTAGAAGCAGCTGCCACAAGGCAGGTCTTTGCCTGCATACAAATCTGGTTGAGCCTAGCTAGAATATTCTTTGTATTAAGAATCGACCTCTTCATGCTCTGCCCAGAAAAGCGTTCTTGAATAAAATGCTGCTGTATAAAAGGCTACACTATTGAGCTGGATTTTATTGTTGCAGCTAACTGAAACGGTCAAGGTTGGTGTAATGTAGGGGCTGCCGAGGCAGACGAGGAAATGGGGTACAGGCACAAGCGTCTATTTTTATGGTCTTTATTGTAACCATCCAGAGAACAAGCAGGAATATAAATGGTATGTGGATCCATGAATAAAACAGAAAACACAATAATACTGAAGACTAAACTGACAAAGAAGACTAGTGAACATTAACTATAGATAAATACAAAGAAAACACAAACAGTGAGAACTGAACACTATGAACAGAAACTCAAACTGGAAAACTAACTGAACATGAACTGAAAACACAGATCTGACCAACAGAGAGCATGAGAGCTCAAACTGGGACCACAAACAAGGTGTACAAATGTAATGCTAGCTAAAGAACAAGAGAAAAGAGGGCTGTATATATACAAACACTCTAGACAAGGGACAGCTGAACACACTTAACAAGGGTGGAGCCAGAAACAAGGGGAGGCATGGAAGGGGAGGAGCTAACACAAGCACATGCCCTAGAAAACAAAGGCACATGGCATAAGAAAACAATAAACAAACGCAGAAACAAAGTTAGATACAGAGAAGACGCTACAGGATGTTACAGTTGGAAAGAACAGTGAATTTGCCGCTATGCTAACGTTGGCTTGATTCTAAAAACGCAGTTTAAATGTAGATATTTTGACAAAAACTAGCTGTGTGCCACGATTTGTTTGGACTAGAAAAGTTTGGACTTGGACAGAAAGTTTTTGGGCTTTTTGGGTTCAAACCAAACTTTTAGGCCCAATTAAAACTCTGATCATAACACAGTTTGGGCTGTTTTCATTTTACACTTTAAAACAGTTCCACATTGCAGAGATTTAAACTCTTTGTTAACTTCTGAAAACTTGCCTCACTGCCGCAGGTTGACCTGGTATACAGTTTGGGTATTTTTATGGCTAAACAAAACTGTTGTGTGCTACAACAAAAGAATGCATTTGTGGGTGGAGCATGGATTGGTCAGTTGCTGCACCACTGACTGGCCTTAAATGTTGTAGAACTCCTCTTCCTCAGAAGCCCTAAAGTCAATTGCACATTGTTAGAAAATCACTTCATCTGAGGTGATCACTGTCTCGCCTCGGCTCTGGAGCTGATGAAGGGTCGGAAAATCTTTACCTTTAGATGTTTAGGTAGTGTGTGTGTGCGTGTGTGTGTGAGAGACAGAGAAAGAGAGAGACAGAGAGAGAGAGAGACAGAGAGAGAGAAAGATTGAAGTTTTTACAGGCAGTTCTAGCTGTCTGAGGTGTGTGTGTGTGTGTGTGTGTGTGTGTGTGTGTGTGTGTGTGTGTGTGAGTTCTGTGGGAACTGAGAGTGACTGTGTCATCTCCATTGTTTGGAGAGCGGCTGTGCTGAAAGGAGGGAAAGTGGAAGTGCTGCACTCTAGGGCTTGTGGCCTGAGATGGGCTCATTTAAAGACATCAATTTCTTTTGTCCCGGAACACAAAAGTGCAACATCTCCCCAGAACACCTCTCAAAATACTGCTGTAATGACAGAGAACTGGGCCACAGAGCTCCCCCTGCCTGTATCTCTTTCTCTACCCCATCTCTCTCCTTCTCTTGCGCTGCCCCATTTGCACCACATTAGCATAACAAAAACACGAATCCTCAAAGGGAGAAGCATTTTTGAGGTAGTCAGGTCTCTTGACTTGAATCAATTAACAGACTTTAAAGTGTGAACTTCACTCAAATGAACGGACCTCTCTTGCTCCGCCCACAAAGGCATTCTTTCATAGCTGGGAGAAATCTTCTTCTTTTTCTTTTCCAGTTGATACAGCTTGAACCGCTTAACATTCAGACCCCATTCAAACACCAGTGTGTAGATCATTTCAGTGAGACGTGCGCTGTGTGTTTATATATGTGTAAATACTTTTGTATACTTTCAAAAATATTTTAGATTAAAATAATTTTCCCATAGATTTGTATGTAGGAGTAATGTCACAGTTTGAACCACCACTGATGATGTCATAACGTGGTTGAGCTTGTTTAAAGTGCGTCTGCTGCACTCTGCTCTCCATTTCAGCCTCTTTAGGCTCGTCAACCTTCTCACTACTATCTGTTCACGTCTTTTTCATTCCTCTATGTTTGAGCAAACAATTTCATTCCTTCCTTTCTTTTCTTTCTTTCTTTCTTGTCTCTCCTTCTTTTATTTTTTTTCTCACTTCCTTTCTTTCTCTCCTTTTTCTTTCTTCCTTCATTCCTTTCTTTTTTCTTTCTCCCCTTTTCTTCCTACCTTCCTTTCATCTTCCCTCCCTTTTCTTCCTTTCTTTTCTTTCTTCCTTTGTTTTCTGTTCATTTTTGTTCATTTGCATCCATACTGTTTTTCTTTCTTTCTTTCTTTTCTTTCTTTCATTTATTCTCTCCTTCTTTCATTTCTTTTTCCCTTTTACTCAGTTCCTTCCCTCCTTTCTTTTTTCTTTCTTACTTCATTCCTTTTTCTTTCTTTCTTTTCTTTCTTTCTCCCCTTTTCTTCCCACCTTCCTTTCTTTCTTCCTTTCCTTTCTTTCTTCCTTCATTTTTCTGTTCCTTTCTTTGTTCATTTGCATCCATACTGATTTTCTTCTTTCCTTCTTTCTTTCTTTTCTTTTTCTTTCTTTCTTTTTCTTTCTTTCTTTCTTTCTTGCCTCTCTTCATTTTTTTTCTTTTACTCACTTCCTTCCCTCCTTTTTTTTCTTTCTTCATTCATTCCTTTTCTTTTTCTTTCTTTCTTTCTTTCTCCCCTTTTCTTCCAACCTTCCTTTTTTCTTTCTTTCTCCCCTTTTCTTCCTACCTTCCTTCATTTTTCTGTTCCTTTCTTTGTTCTTTTTCATCCATCCTCTCTTCTTATTTTTTTTTTTGCTTTCTTATTATATTACATAGGAATTCTGTGACTCATTGCTCAGATTGCTTTGACATCATTTTTATTGCCTTTCAAGCAGAAAATGCAAATCTAGTTTAAATGATATTTTTGGCAATTTTATATACGTCTGTAAAGTTGCACTGTTAAGACAGATTGAGTGTAGTTTTTACTGTCATGTGATTAAACCTCTGTTAGCACGGTGGCAAATTTAGTGTTTCCAACCTGCTTTGTTCGCATTTTAAACTGAAAACTCCAACCTAAATTAAACAGAATGAGTGAGATTTAGACCAACACTTGCTATGAAAGAATACCTCTGTGGGAGGAGCACAGAGAGGTCAACTGATTAAAGTCTGCATTTAGCCTGTACTAATGAGCGTCCTGCTGGAGCCATATTTAATGAGACAGTTTGAACTACATTTCCCAGACTCCTCACCTATCAGGCCGGTGTATGCGATGAGGCAGGCCCCGTAGTTGTCTTGCTGGCAGCCGCTGGCAGTGAGCTGTGAGGGCTGGCAGTCGTGCTGGAACTGGGCCCAGCGAGACCTGCGGGAACCACAACAACACATCCATCATCTAACCAGCCAGCACACACTTCCAACACACACCTATACTCACACACTCTCGCTCGCCCCACTCTTCCTTTTTGAGTGCAGCTGGGGCCAGTTAGGGTTACACTAGGCTTGATTTTCTGGTGACAGTATTGCCTGAAAAAGCAGAGCTATGGCAGGGAAACCGGGTGCCCCATCTGGAGAAGAGGAATCTGTGTCGAATACCAGCCAGTCATTCTGTTCTACAAAATCAATTAACCACAGAGATGTGATGAGATCTGGGTTCTGCTGTGTTTTTCCTTTGTATATGATGTACACAAACAGTCAATGAAACTGTACTGAAATCAAACATCACTGCTGAGCTGAGTGTAGCTGGAACATTACAGCAGATCTGTACTGTTCTATGTAGCTACCTATAGATCACTGTTGTCAGAAGAAAACCTCATATCTCCATTTTTGACATTTTTTAGTTCTTGATATAATTTGGAAATGCCTGTTACCCTTTACATTGTGTGTAAATTTCTTGATGAATGGACTAGAAGAAACGGCCCAAAATGACTTGGAAAAAAGTCTGGTTCCATTGACTTCCATTGACATTAAAAGTAAAGTATGTTTTTTCCTTCTCCTGTAAAGTTTTGGAGATATGAGCTTTTGTTCTGACAACAGTGATATATTCAAACTTCGAATACATACACACGCACATTTGTTTTTATACCTTGTGAGGATGTGAATCATGCATATGTCCTAAATGTATTATACATATACAATACTGTGTAAAACTGTTTAATGACAGAACAAATATAATGAAGCATTGATTGATTAATCTATATATTGGATGACTTCCTTGACAAGAGGCTTGGAAATGATTAACATACATCAAATCACAGCCATATTTGTTTACACAAAGTTTCTGTGACTTGTGCTACAGTAGCTCTTCTGTCGGTTCGGACCAGATGGGACAGCCTTTGTTGGGCTCACGCATCAGTGAGCCTTCGCTGCCCAACACCCTGTTGCCGGTTTGTGGTTTGTCCTTCCTTGGACCAAATGCTCTGACCCGTCGTCTGATGATTGGACCTTGTCAAAGTTGCTCAGGCCTTCACACCAGCCCATTTCTCCCGCATTCAACACGCCAACTATGAGTACTGACCGTTCGATTACTGTCTAATATATCCCAGACCTTGACATGCACAGTTCTTATGAGATAATCAGTGTTACGTGCTTCATCTTTGAGTGGTCATAATGTTTTGGCTCGTCGCTGTATGTTGGTTTGATGTTGGGCAAAACCATTGAAGTAGATCTCCAATGTTAAATGGTATTGATCCTGCTCTTTGTGTTGGCAGTTGATTTAATGCTGGTCAACCATGTTGAACACTGATCCAATGTTGATTTAGCAACACTTTCTGATGATTGTAATGCCTTTGAACTAATGTTAGTAGAGTCATATGGAAACATTCATTTTTGTGTCCCTAGCATTTGCAGATATATTACACCTGGAAAACAGGTTAGGGTTACAATTTATTTATATTTTAAAATAAAACAATAAGTTGCTTTAACAATCAGTCCTTCTTCAGCCGTCAATTGAGCAATATTGGTTTTTAATCCAATTATATAGAATTCCAAGCACCACAGAAGTGCTCATCCTCACAGTCATGTGTAAAGGCTGAGTGCCATATTTTGATGTGTTTTTTCCTGCAATTTTAACTGCGACAATCTATACGTGACTATGGCATATATGATTTAAATGACATAAAGAGAACAAATGCCAAATAAATATTATAAATATATAATGAAAGTTTTGGTCCACAGGAGTCGTGTCACTGGTGTTACCGCATAACGAAAAATCTCTTATTTTGAAATAAAAATCACACTGATGACATCACTTGACTTACTTTTACCTATTTTCTGAAAATCTATTAAGAAAAGCACATGGGAAGTCCACTGTTTCTTTTCAGTTATCAGAAATGTTCTCATTTAGCTCATGATTTCATATGAAGCTTTTAGTTGAAGTCACAGGTACTTTATTTTTAGGTAATTGTGAAAAAATAGAATTCAAATAGATTAAATTAAATATTTTAGTGGATATTCCATGATTGACGATGTGTGGTTTGATGCTCTGTAGCAGACACTTTGTAAAATGCATTTTACACCAGTGACGATCAGTAATACCAGTGACTCCTATGGATAGATAAAAAAGTGGATGTTTCTGTATGACCCAGATGTATGACCCAGTACTGATGTTAATTTAATGTTGAACCAATGTTTCCTCTAATATGCAGTGTTGATTCAATGTTGAAAACATATTAAATTTGGCTCAGTATTTACAAATTTACACACCTTACTTACATTTTTAGAAATTAGGAAGACACTGTAATCCAGAGCAAATTACAGTGGTTGGTAAGCGCATGGTTTGGAGACTTAGCCAAGGATTCTACCAACGTGTGATGACATAAGGTCTTATAACCATATGAAAGAGCTATAAAGGAAGGCAGAGTGGGTAATCCAGTCATCCTGCATACTGAGAAATGAGAATGAAATGGACTGTTTTCATAATGCACAAATCAATCAGAACACAAAACAAACCACAAACAAAAAATGTCCTGGCAATGTAGGAAAACAAACAAACACACACACACACACACACACACACACACACACATATATATTTGATCTGTTGTTTCCCCTTCCATCTTGGTCACAAGCAGCACAGCATGCATCAGACACTGCTGGAGCACCACTGCATATTGACACTGAGCAACTGGATGCAGCTGAGCAGCTGAGGTCAGCCACTTGCACATGGACGCACGCACACACACAGGGTACTAACAGTCCCCTTGGTGCTTGAGCACAAATCAACCATCCAATCAGATGTACCTCAGAGAAGCTGCCCACAGGCCCTCCTGATAGTGTATGCTAATGAGAATGCTGTAGAATTAAGTGAGCACCACCTGCGTGAAGCCTGATTGGCCGCCAGCGTGAGTGTTAGGAGTGTGATGGTGGATCAATGCAGTAGACAGATGAAAGCCTTTGTGTTTGTGACAGAGAGGGAGAGAGAGATGGGGAGCAGAGCTCAAACACAGCCAGTCACTCTTAAGCCCACTGAGAGCCTTGTGGAGGTGGAGTGACCGCTACTGTCACTGCTCTCTCTTTCTCTCTCTCACTGTCTAATTTACCAGCGCTCAGGGTGCAGAGGGGCCACTAAACCTAAGCACCACGTATACCTCAACAGCCCTTACCATATGCAGCCATCAGCTGCCGGTAAAGTGATAAAGAGAAGGATGTTTACCCAATTCACTCCACAGAGCAGCATCGACTAAAGGAGCTCCTTAAAGCATCATAACCTTTAACAGGCAGTGTAAATCACCCACTGTAGTTATGACAAATAAACACCTGCATCATCTTAAAGGAGCTCTCTCATGTTAGGCTGCGCTCACTTTACAGGTGACAAATTATAAATGGCAAATATTCCAAAATCCTAAATGTAATACGGATCAGGCTTTTTTTAGAGATGTGTGAACACAAAAATCAGATTTTTATGATTCAGATTTACACTTAGATATGCAAAATAAGAAGTTATCTACTTAAACATGCATATATTTGCATAATTTGAAAAACTTGTCTTTGAATGACGTTGGAATTGAAATGTTTATTTCATTGTGAAGACATGCTCCAAAAAAGTTTTTACAGAACAGATTGCCGGACGCATTGTTTACTGTTTAATCAAGAAAGCTTTATGCACTATTAGGAATATAATAGGAAATCTTCTGTAACATCCTTCAGAATAAGGATAGTAATAAATATGTACATTTTAATTAATGCAGGTATTCTATAAACTGGTTCTCTTAAATCTGAATGTAAAGGAAAACTGATTTTAAGAAAAAAATTAGGAATGGGCCTCAAAACTGCATTACCCAGTAAGATTACAAAAACACGAAAAACATGCACCATGCATGTGACTGTTGTTATTAGAACAAAAGAAACAGGCATAATGGATATTCAGATTAGAAGCTTGTAGTGATATATGGCACAGTATGGTTGTGTTGAGGGTGCTGATGAAACACCTTAGTTAAACTTATAGCTTTTTGTAAATGCTGTTAGTTGTGTATGGATGCTAATTGACACTGAAAGGTATATATTTCTGTTAAGTTCTGAACTTTTTATGGTTACAGTTTAAGAGAAGACGTTATAGATGCAATTTATCTATAAAAACATAGAAAAAATGATTGACAGGACCAGTATTGCCATTTCTGCCTGTAGTGTAACGAATCATGTACACCATGGGGAGGAAAGCTTTGTCTTGCAGCTGCTGAGGTCAGCGGCACTGGTGTCTAGAGAACTTTTTGGACATGAGAGAAGTCAAGACTTATGTCTTATGAATTGTACATGGATATAGATCATGGGTTCCCTTTATACTTGTGCTGAATGTACAAGTCTGCAAGGACATGAAATTGAGGCCCGAACCTGACCTGTACCTGCGACCCTGAAGCCAGACCCGATCAGGCTGGTGAATGGTAATGCTAAATCTGAGACCCGAACTCAACCCGAACCTGCTCAGACGCACTAAGCTGAAGTTCATATTCACCAGTGTCTTATTCAAACTTACAATCTGCAGTTACACTTTGGTAGGGCCATTTAAGGTGGAACAGAACATTTGATCATGAAGCTACCTTAGCTTTGAGGCACTAACAGAGATGGATTATTGCAGACATGGTTTACAGGGCTTTGCTTTGTCGCTAAACTCTTTAAGATGCTGGGATAAACTGGTATTTTACAACTCTGTAATACATCAACAGTATTTTTTATGAAATTGCTGATCATACCTGGCAGAACCCCCCCCCCAATACACTGTTAAAAAGCTCCTCTTGCTACTGCTGCTAAGTTCAGAAATGCTTAATATACTTCAGGCGAGCTCAGCAACCAAGCTGGAAATCCTTCTACTAACCCAACACTGCTGAACTTCATTTACAATTTTGCTACACAAATAAATCACTCAGGAGATAACAGACCCAGGCCAGACAGGAGCCCAACACTGTATGTGAAAACACATCCTAAACCCAGCTTGAAACACAATATTTTATAAGGCTGGTTAAAGGTGGTCAAGAGTGATCAAATTAACTGTAATTCCAATGCATCCTGGGTGTGTTTACACTTCATTTTTCATGCAGTCAAGTGAAATCTGAACATGATCTGATCACTGAAAACACGAGGTGATGAAGGGCACCCTGTGGCTGTATGACTGTACTGTGAATGTTCAGGTTAGAATTCTTTTTTTAAACATCACACTTCACAGCATATGGCCAAACCCCTAATGTTATCATCCAGTGTCAGCAGTACGTCAGCAGCGGCAAATATGATGATGGCATTTCTCGGTAACAAATATAAGGAAGGACTTAAAAACACAGGAAACAGATCGCTTTTACTCTGAGATGTGTGCCCAGCTGTTTTCATCAGTGATCAGCTAACATTTACTTCTAAAACGCAAAAAAACAACATGATATGGTTGCTTATTTTTATTACTATAATAAAGCCAGAGACTAGCTCATAATTAGAGATGCAGGGACCGATTGGCTTTGTATTGGTAGTGGCCGATTTTCAGCCCAAATATGTGATCGGCAATTGGCTGATTTTTCTCCACCTTAGCCGATCTTGAGAGCCATATTTCGCCTGAGGCGTCAGAATGTTGCACCATTTAAGGTGGAATGGGAAAATTCAAACAAGAAGCTGGTGAATACGAAGTGATTCTCAGCCTTGTTATATCTATTTCACTAATGAAAAACATTTTTCCTGAAGTATATTACATATTTGGTTCCTATTTTGCCTTAAACTCACTGTGTGAACGTGTAGAGCTGTAATTAACAAGGTTGTCAAAGTTTTGGGGATTTGTTTCTGTTAGGCTCTGGTTATTTCAATGGTTACGCTAGTCTGAGGTGCCAGAAAGTAACTGCTGCACCATTTAAGGTGGAACGGGAAAATTTGAACAAGAAGCTGGTGAAAAAGAAGCTGAATTCAGCTTCATCGAGAGTTGAAAGGTATGAAAGGAATGAGGATGTTGCTCTGTTTGTGCTTGACAGGTGGGTCACATTAACTTATTTTTGCTGTTTCACAGAGTCAGTAGGTAGTCTAGCTAACATTAGTTACATTACTTATGTTGTGTTTGCTCTAAGGTTATATCATGGCATTTGTCCGGGCAATGCTTGTGAAGTGTTTTCTGGTCACAAAGATCTAAAAGAGTGTCATCTGCTTTGGCAGTGTGCTTCCATTAATTTTGGGGGTGGAGTCTCTAAGGGAGCACTGAAGGGAGAGGTGTATTTGTTTTGCTGTTGCATCCAGCCCCCAACATCAATTGGTCTCAGCTATAGGCCAATCATGCTGAAAGGTGATTGGTATCAGCCCCAAAACACTGATCGGTCCATCTCTACTCATAATATCTAAATTGATTGTTTTGATGATACATTGTTGTAAAATGTTCTATAGTCTTTTCAGTTTACCAGCTGCACAAATCAAATCTCAAACAATTATTTCACTTTTAAATTCACCCTCACTGGCAAGTCACCAACCAATACATCCTTGGAACAGGAACAGACCCTTTCCTGCATGCTTTAATACTAAAATGCACACTGTCAGTGGAAGATGACATCAAGTCCAGTACACACTGCAAGTAAAAGTGGTCCAAATCTGATTTTATCCTTCATGTGTGACCAGCAAAACACAGTTCCAGTTCCAATTCAGTCCACTTTCATTTGTGGTACTGAAATCCAACATTTGATATGTTGTAGTGCACCTCTGTCAGAAGAGTTAGAATTTCTGCAACTTTCATGTCAATCAAACTCCATATTCATCATAATTGCATGGTTGATACCTGCTGAATGCCTGTTACTATGATTATGTATTGTGTATTTCATTTTGAAGTCAAGCAGTGTGAACAAATAAGCATGGTGCTGAATAATGGAAGAAATCAAATAAAACTATTTAAAACCAGCTTTACTTCAATAATATATAGCAGGGAGAAAAAAGCAGAAGAGTCAAATGAGCTTCACACAGATCAAATCTCTTGATCTGGTATATATCACTGTTTTTAGCCCTGAATTTCTCTTTGCTAGCGTTCTTCTTGACTGCTGGTAAACAAAAGAAACTGAGCATCTTTTCTCTGTGTGACTGGCTTCCTTTTGTACTCTTTGTGTTTAGTGCAGTCATTTTAGTGTCTACTGTTTGTCTTCCAAATTTAAACTAGTGGTTAGAGGACTGTTGTGTTGGTTGGATGAGCGCACTGGGTGAAACAGTTGTTCTTTTGTGCATGTGGGACAGTTCAGGAGCATGACCTTTTCAGACTAATTTTGAATATAGGGCACATTAAAAAGATAATGTTAACAAACAAGAACCAAACAAAAATCATATCTGAGCATGAATTCAAACTGAACAGTGAGAATGCAAGAAAACACAAAAAGGCACATTGAAAAACATGCTAAATGTATGTGTGAGGGTCCTTTTAGGGTAGAGGTGTATCCAGGGCAGTTTCAGAACATGTATAAGGGAAACAGAATCTTTAAAGCAATGTTAAAGACAGGTGCCAAAATTAAAGGAAAAATCAACATAAAGTCCCTTAGTAAGCTGCTGGTTTACAACACGCTGTCAGAACAGATTCAGCGTGCCTTGCTGTAGATCGTTCATGTGTGTACAGGAGGAAGGGAACACCATTCTTCCGAAAGACATTGCCTCAGCTGGGGTTTTGATGATGGCAAGTTTAATGGTGGTGGAGAGCGCTGTCTAACATGTCAGTGTACACCACACCTGCACTCGCCCACTTGTGGAGAATGTGATGAAGGATGACTCATCATTTTTTTAGACAGAGGAATTACATGAAGAACACTGCCAACCAGTAACAGTGAGTAACTGTGAATTAAGGAAAAATTCCAACAGCAGGGTTTTTCCCATCTTCCTTATCAATATGTATTCTAAACACACTTTGAATATGTTACTTTTTATGTATAATGGAATATATTACTGACAGGATTGACATGTAATGGAATACAAGTATTTCATTACATACATATATTTTCAGAATTTAGTCCAAGTTACATTTTATGAAGGCAGTATTCTGAATAGTTAAGTATTACATTTTCGTGAACAGTATATATATATATATATATATATATATATATATATATATATATATATATATATATATATATAAAACAAACATTGATGGTGTTTCTTTTAAAGATATATATATATATATATATATATATATATATATATACCATCTTTAAAAGAAACACCATCAATGTTTGTTAATTTACTATTTTAAATCATTGCACAGTGTAAAATACATACTCTAAAGAAGAACTGCTGGAGTTCTTAAACACTGTGTCCACTCACTGTCCACTCTATTAGACACTTCTACCTTGTCAGTCCACCTTGTAGATGTAAAGTCAAAGACGATAGCTCATTTGCTGCTGCACAGTTTGTGTTGGTCATCTTCTAATCCTTCATCAGTGGTCACAGAATGCTGCTCACAGGACACTGCTGACTGGATATTTTTGGTTGGTGGACTTTTCACAGTCCAGCAGTGACAATGAGGTGTTTAAAAACTCCAGCAGCACTGCTGTTTCTGATCCACCCAGACCAGCGCAACACACACTAACACACCACCACGTCAGTGTTACTGCAGTGCTGGGAATGATCCACCACCCAAATAGTACCTGCTCTGTGAGGGTCCATGGGGGTCCTGATCACTGAAGAACAGCATAAAAGAGGACTAACAAAGTATGCAGATAAACAGATGGACTACAGGCTGTAATTGTAGAACTACAAAGTGCACCTATATAGTAAGTGGAGCTGATAAAATGGACAATGAGGGTAGAAACAAGGTCATAATGTTATGCCTGATCTGTGTGTGTGTGTATATATAATGATAAACCAATGTAATGAGACAATTAATAATCTCAGTGTTACAAAACTCTTTTACAGAATGACTGAATTGAACAGTCTCCTCAGTGGCAAACATGAGCGATAAGCTTAGCATCACTGTTGCGGGGGACTCATGCAGGCATTTCGTGACCAGTTACATACATGACATTAACTGAAAATCACATAGCTGCCCACTTTATAGCCCAACTTGCAGGATTTTTTTTTTTTGGCAATATGTTAAATTGTTAGTTAATGAGGCGGCAGTAGCATCATGGGAGCAGCAGCAGACTGAAGCAGATGATGAGAGCCAAAATAATGTTAAGAATTTTGTAACTACATTTAAATAAATGGATTTGTCATGAAACACATTAGTATACATGTTTATATATATATATATATATATATATACATACACACACAACAGTGTGAGTTAAATAAAAATTACAGCATAGTTTTTCCCCATGTGCCTTATCAATATGTGCTCTAAATATTCTAAATGTATTCTGTATTCCTTTTATGTATTGTAATGGAATAATGGAATACATTACTCAATGCATTTTGGACAGTGTGTTCAACATTCAGCCATCACTGTTTTCTCAAAGTATTCTGCCCAACCCTGCGTACTGAATACATTTAGGACACTGTATTCAGTATTCAACCACTGTGTGTGTGTGTGTGTGTGTGTGTGTGTAAGTTTGTGTGTTCACGTATCACGTAAATGACAGACATGACTCACGTACATGGCTTATTCTGCTTGCTAGCTGGTTTATTGTTCATTCGTGTGGCTTTACTGAGTTTATGTGCGCATGCGGGTGGTTTCAGGGCGCAGGTTCGTTGACAGTAATAGAGTCAGTTACCCGCGCAAATGTGAAACACTGAGGAAGAAAGATTAGCTCTAAGCACAGTATGGGAAAAGCGCAGTGAGGCCTGTGATGTGTTTACAGGGTGAACTTGCTGTAGCTGTACTCACTTGCACACGTAGTCCGCCTCGCACACGCGCAGCTGCGCCAGGCAGTTGGGTTTGTCACGCTCCTCGAACGAGCACGCGGGAACGATGGTCTGGCGGCGGCGCTCTGCACACGCGGTGTCCGAGCAGGGACAGAAGAGCAGCTCGTGCGTGAAGTCGGGCGGCACGCGGTCGAAGAACTTGCGCAGGGCCTTGCTGCAGCGCCCGCGGTTACAGGGCCCGGCGCGCGCAGACGGGGCGATGCACGCAGACACGTACTCGGTGCGCAGCTTCTGACACGTGTCATCCACGTTACACGCCTTAGCCGCGTCCAGACAGCGGTTCACTGCAGACATGCCCGCCTCAGACTCTGGAGGAGAGGAGAGAGGAACGATCATAATGTAAACAAACAAACAAACAAACAAACAAACAACAACTTTTTATATAAACTAAAATTTAGTGTTGAGTACACCCTTTAAAAAAATGGTTCTTCAAGGGTTCTGTAGTAAAGAAAGTTCTATTTAGAAACATCAACACTTAAAGAACCCTTTGTATGATTAAAGGGTTGCATAATGAATTGGTTCTTCAGATAGAGAATGTGTTGTGTATGTTTCTCTATAGGACCTTTTTGAAAAGGGTTCTATATAGCTATCAAATGGATTCTGCAACTGTTATAATGTCAAGCTTGTAACCATAGAACACGTGTTAGACTCCAGTCCTCGCAGGCCAAAACACTGCAGACTTCAGCACGCTGCCTCATTAAACACACCCGATTCAGCTCATCAGCTATTTAGCAAGGCCTTCATGAACTCAGTGCATTAGATGAGGGTAAACGCTAATCTCCACAGCACTTTGGCCCGGGAGGTCCCCAGTTATATAGAGCCTTTTTTAAAAAAAGTGTGTTCTTACACCCAGAATTTTAATAAAACTCCAGTTGTTGTAGGGTTCAGAAGGGCTCCAAGGAGCTGATTAAATTTTAAAGTGAAGATATGAAGATATATATATATATATATATATGTATATATATATATATATATATATATATATATATATATATATATATATGAAACTGCTTCATTCCAGAATATATATATATATATATATATATATATATATATATATTCTGGAATGAAGCAGTTTCATTCGGACAGCTGTACAGCTGAATGACTGTAACTGCTGCACCATTTAAGATGAAAAGTGAATTTCCAATAAAAAGCCAACTTCTACCTTCATCAAATTTCTTGTCATTTATTACACACTTGTCTGATGCTACTGACAAGTCAGGCATCGGATGATACAACAGAAACCCCAAAAGACCAGTAATTCCTCTGTGTCGGCTGCCTCAGATACAAAGTGGACTGCTTCAAATGCAGCAAACTAGACACCAGGAGGTGATCGAGGGTCTGTTGTGTTTTCATTTTCATTTGAAATGTGACTAGAACTCCACAAAAGACAAAAAGGGCTAAATTTAACATTGTTTGCACTGCTTGTTCATTGCGTTTGCTTATTTGTGGCGTAGCGGTATATTAGTGATGACAAAACTCGTACCTGAGGAAGGATTTTAGCTGGTATACCAAATTGTATTGTCCTTCAAACCATTATAGTGTTTTAGTGAACTTGTCTATTCTGTAATTAATAGACGTTTTAATACCAGCTTTGTTGCTTTAGTAATGAGTGGTAATGAAGTGCATGTAATAACTATTTAATTCTCATAAAAGCGTGATTTTTCATTAAAAAACTAAATAATTAACCATTACAGTATTAAATAATGAGAGCTAGTGTGATTGACTTTAGTGCAGAGAACTTATAACACCAATTAATTGATAAAGTAACACAATGAGAAGACGTGCTGTGAACAGTGTGCACCTTTTGGTGTAATGAGGTGCATCTGTGTGTAACAATAGCATTGACAGTGTTAAAAGTATAACACTGAAAGCAGTGAGAGATACCAACACTTCACTTTATAAAGTGTAAATTAAACTAAAATTGGTGTATAGCCATACACACACTGAGCAAGTGTTCACACTCACAGTGTTAATATAACATAAGCAAATTAGCTGTGCAAAACATTTTGTACAGGAAAGCAAATTATACTGCACAGGTTACGATGTTTTACTGATGTAGAGAAACTCAACTCACACGTAAATCATCACACACTTTAAGGTTTAAGTAATCTTGTTTATGTGCATTTCTGACACTGTATAACACAGTCACACTATATAAACCCGCAATAAATTCTATAAACAAAACACTGTCCATTATTTGCTAGCCACATTAGCCCTTTAGCTCCAGGGCAAAATTAAAGAAGCAAACTTTGGAATCCATACATCACTTGGCTGGCCAACTAAATTGGCATAAGGGGAACTGTGTAACATTTTTGGCAAAATGATCCCTTTAAATAGCCCTTAGTAACCTGTGTTCCAGTTGTGGATGTATTTACAGTAAATCATAGTGAAATTTAGACCAAAATGTGATTGTCCTGCAGTCAGTTTTTGCTATTTTAGTTGTATTTTTGCAGTTTGTATTAGGGTTGCAGGTTGTCATTGTGCACAACCAGCCATGAGATGACCATGAGATGGTCATCCTTAAAGTGAGCTGTCATTTCCCGGCCATTTTGTGTACACCTGGGCACCATCATCAAGTAGGTTTTTTCCTGTTAAAACCTACCTCAGCATGGGAGCTAACAAGCTACTGAAAGACTGCTGGACTCGAATGTGTCTGAATGTCAGGTGAAGAGACCAGTGCTTGTCTAACATACAGAAAATGTGAACAGCAAACACATTCAATAAATATTGCAGTAATGAGATGTGAAATCACATAGATGACAGATTACATGAGGCACAGTATGTTTTTACAGTAATTTACTGGCAGCTGGTTTCTTAGTAAAGTGCTATAAATGTACAATTTTAATATTGCACATCAGTGATTTATTGTAGCTGATTTTCAGTATTAATTAGAGTAATTTACTGTGCATCTGCCATAATTTCCTGCCAACTCTGCTGACATTAAATAAAAATGTACAGTGAATTGTTTAAAGTGTATGGACAATGCCTATAGCCTATGGCACAAGAGCTGTGCACACGTATGGCCGCTGCAGTGGAGCTGTCCAGTGCTGAAACCTCCAAGCCTCAAATAGGCCTGCATTGATTCATTAAACCAATATCTCCACTGCGTAACACTGCCACTACCACCAGCACTCTGAACGACCACTTTGAAGTCACAGACAGATTAAACTACATCTTAAAAGCCTATAAAATTCTTTAAAAAGATCAGATTTCCACTTTCAAACAAAAATATGAAAACTCATGTCTCATATATTATTAAACAGTCTTTGAAGAGTAAAGTGGAGTTTCACAGGCAGTTTATTTCTGCCGTCTAGACAAGAGAGTTGGAGCGAGTTTGCCAGAGGTCTGGTTGTGTAGTCTGAGCTTCTTGGAGGAAATGAATCAAGGTTGGTGGTTTTGTGTTCTGAATGCCCCTCGGTTGCCCTACTGTGGCAGGTCACAACCTTTTGTAAGCAGCCTTTTCTCTTCGCTACAACCTGCTGTTTAAGAATGCACCCGTGTCGGAAGCACTCCTGCACTCCAGATACGGCCTAATGAGAGTGTTGTAGAATGTAGGTCCTGCACAAGTAAAGCACTGAGGCAAGAAATCACACATTTACAAGACTTTCTGCTCTACCTTTATATGCTGTGGTCCAGGTATAAGCCAGAGTAGATCTGCATGAAGCACCAAGTGCAGATTCTTTTGAGGGGAGACTTGCACACTTTTTTCCACTTAGCACTTTTTTCCTCAACTGATTTCTGCAGAACTAGCGTGACTATGTTCTTCTGGGCCCCAGTGCAAGAAAATGAATGCATCTCCAAATGAAAATTACATTCAATGACTGATGATTATAATGTTATTTGCTTGCTTGCAATTACTACAATATGTTTTCATCAACTCCATAGAACTGCTACCAGTTGCATTGTTTTCCGTGTAATTACTGAATAATAATCTTTACGATGTAATGAAAATCACACAGTTAAAGAATCTAATGTAAGCTAATGGTTGAAGTATATTGCTCAGTTGTTATAGCTACCTATTGGTCATGAGTGTGCAATTGCATAAGAAACAAAATGCAAGGAGTCCAACAAAGACATTATGGGCATTTGGTCACCAGAGGCAGCTAGAACTCCTGTTATCAAGTTTAGGGAACTCAGACTTTCAGGTTTACCAGGTTATTTACTTTTGTAAGCTTAAAAAAGCTGCTTCTTGTCAGTATAGCTTTCTGCTGGCAAACAAAGAGTTAGGCTTGTGACACACAGAGTTAGGTTGTGACATGTACCAGCTCACAGGCTGTTAAGTGTCAATTGATGTCCATATCTGAAGTTTTACATTTACTTTGGTCTATATATTTAATTACTTTAATGGTAACAGCACATATTGAGAGCAGTATATTACTGGAATCAACAATACCCTCTTTTCTGAATATCATATATATGTATGCAATTTAACAGCAGTTTGAAAATTGTTGTTAAATTGTATCTTAAATACATTTTAAAGAGTCAAAAATCTTAATCAACTGTTTAATGTCAGTGTATCAAAAATACAAACAGCTGTTCTTTCAAAAGCTAACAGGCTCTTCCAATATTATGCACGGACAGTTACAGAGTGAAAATGTAATGTGCATGTGTTACAAGCCCCAAAGGTCAGTGTTAAGCTAGATCTGTATGCTTTATCCTAATTTCACTTTTAATTTTCAATTTGATTTTAATTATCCTAATTTAATTTCTAATTAGAGTTTATAATTTAATGATTTCCTCCTTTAAATCTATTGTTTTAATCATGTTTATATACTTTTTAAATGATTCTGTATTTTCTCATTTGTAAAGTATATAAATATACTTGCCTTGCCTGTTAAGCTCAGTGTGGAAATGTGAATGTTCACCGCTGTTAGCCTGGTGCTGAAATTAGCATCATCGTAGCAGTGATAATCAGATACTTACAACATGAACGTTTCTACATTGAATTCTGCTCTATGATGACATATGTAGCATTCCTGCTTTATTTTATGTTCATGGTTCAGGTTGTGCTAGGTAAGCTAGCATGCTATTAGATCCATAGCTAGCATTAGCTTAGGCTAATGTTAACTAGCTTTGCTAGTTACATATGCCCTTTGTTGCATTTACTGTGGTTCACAGATATTAAGACAGCTCAGCTCTTTTATGTTTAATAATGAAAAACTGAAAAACAAAATATATCTGTAGTGAAGATGATTGTTTGTGTTGTGCCTAGTTTTACAGTGAAGCTGGTGAATGTTTAGGTGTTTTTATGACAATATTGTTACAATAACATTACAGTAGCCATACATTATGGTGCTTGCTTCAG